TACATGTTTTTATCGCCTATATGCATATTGACACTGGGTGAGTTGGATTTCAATCATTTGATCAATATCAATCATGACTTGCCATCATTTTGACTTGACAGTTTGGTGATTGCATGAGTTGTGCAAGTTGGTTGTTTAGTCGATGTGATACTTTGAACTCATGATCATAGTACACCATAATCGCAAATACTTTAGTAAACTCCATTACTTTGATCTATACAACACATGCTGATTAGTTTAGTCATGAGCAATCCATTATTGTTACAATATATGAATACCTGTAAACTGGGTCGATTATACTCCAAATAATCGGTTATGATATCTTGCAGTCCAATACTCTGTAAGCGAGGCACTATAACTTTAAAGTCTGCCATTTCAAACCAACACAAAGTCAGCAATGGTTTGAATTCATCAATAATACAATGTTCATTAAACTTACTGTAGTCCTGTTGTCTCAACTCCTGTATCAATTCAAGCAGTCTGACCCATATTTCATCAGCCTTGTATAGTTGAGCATCTGTTGTTAACAGTTCCAAATCTTCCAGGTGTTTGATAAACTCTTTCATGATATCATTCGACTGCATGTTTGATAAAATTAGTAAAGTTGAATTTTGATTTGACAATTTCATTTATGCGAATGTTCAACAATTGCCAAGAATTGTTCATGTTTGGATTGTTGTAAAACACACAAACGAGTTGTTCCATTTTAGTATTGTTTTGATCAGTTTTTTGTAACAAAATTGGATTGTTATCAAACATGCATTTAGAAATACTGTAAATTAATATTCTGAATGTGATTGTTGTGGATTTGGTTTAATAAACAAGTTAGTTTACTACAACACATGGTAATGGATTACTAAACATCATCATAAATCAGATGGACTGGACTGGAATGAGATGAGATGAGATCAATGACAATCGCATTACAGTGTGTGGTGATTAAACCATCGAGTATTTCCAAATACAAACTTGAATGAAAAGTCTTGCCACAATACTGATCAACTGTATTACTGTTTACACTGTGGTATTATTGATGTATTGGAATATTTGGTGTTCAGATACACAATGATAATGGTAGTGCAACTCATGGCAGTTGTACAAACCAAATGTGATTAAAGCCAATAATAATGTCAGACAAGATTGGATAATGAATTAGCGTGTAAATCATCAACATTGACCAAGATTGATTGAAATGGTGAGATTGAGTTGGATGGTGATGAACAACAAATGTGTGTACAGAGTTGTATTGACAATATTGACAGTCAAACACAATACATGAATGTGGGTTCAAATTTGGTGATCGTATAATGTATGATTACTAAGAGTTCACAAAATGTAGATTCAACACTATAGTCTGATTGTGTGTCATATGATGATGGTTGTGTTTATTGAACAATCGACAGTGTTTATCCTACCAATACAGCCAATATCACCACTCAACTCAACAGGTGATCGTTTAATGGCATGTTATTGGACTGACATTCCCAGAGTCAATTTAAACAATATTTGTAATATAAAGTTTGGATTTACAATCTACATTCAAGGTTTCATTCCTGTATTCAAATGATTAAATAACTGCAGCCATATCATTCAGTCATACAAATATGTACAAATATGTACAAATCAAACAATCACAATTAAACTACACACTTTGGTAGTATACATGAAACATTGATACCAGTTTCTTGACCGTCAATTACTGCTAAATATGTCCATAGTTGTCACACACTGTTTATTCGAAATGTGCAATCCTGGATAAAAGACTTGGCGTACAATAGTGGATGACCTGAAATGATTGGTTGCTTACCGTGCCAGATTGATGCTCTGACTCGAATGAACACAATTGATGAGATTCACCCATAATCACTGCTATATTTTGTCCAAGATTGTAAAAATGAATCAATGTCATTAAAACTGAAACTGAATAAATAGTACTTGAAAGTTGCAATGATTTGGTTGATTTTTGTGCAGTACATGCCAACATCTAGTCAGCGTTCATTTATTGCAATCAACCACTTGATGAATTCGATAAAATCAATACTTGAACTCATGTTTTACACCTTCTACATTTATGGCTGATAAATAGTAAAATGTAAATACTAGCCAGGTTTTTAAAACTTGATTCTTGCATGAGCCGACTCGTCCAACTTTCCACCCCATTCTGACACCAATGATTCAAGTTCATCATAGTTTGCAATGCGTTTGTTGTAGCGCTGTTTAATGACCTTGCCTGTCAGATTCGTTTGCTCATGATTGGTACCGCAGAATATCTGTTTGATCGAGATTTTCAATGCAGAATTGACATCAATGGCCATAGAACACCTTGGATGATCATAGAGTGAACCATGAAAATACAGAGAATCTGATGCAGAAACAAAATACGTTGAATCTGGAACATGGTTAATGTTAATCTCTGAATATATGCTCATCAAACCAAAAACAGAGTCCAACTTGAACTTGTTTAAACATGCTGGCGGGTTCGGTAATTTTGATCGGAAAGTGGTCAGATCCGAGTTTGTAATATCAGAACCAAGTCGTTTTCGTTGATCCAAAACTATGATATAGCCAGAGTCTTTTGCGCGTTTCAGAATAAAGTATATATCCACTCCTGGTCCATTCTCACCATTGAGCACAATTTGCAATGTCTCGCCGTCAACCCAGTCAACGAGACAACAGCTGTCGTGTTTCCGAGTGATCTCCCGTGGCATATCAGGTCCATATTGCTCGTTTGATTGGAAAACTTTGGCGATTCTGATGTGAACTTGAGTATTGAAAATGCCTGAATCAAACTGCGATCCATGCAGTATATCAGACAAAACAAGTATCGATATTCCCAATACAAGAAACGAGTTGATTCTGATACAGTAGAAACTAGCACCAAAATACTCCCATGATGACCAACGAGTCATGTTGGAAAATGGATATTCAATGTCAAGCGACAAACCATTCAACGATGATAGGAGTGCCGTTTCAAATTGGTTTAGACCGACCCTTTCATTCAATGGTCTCTTCAAAGCCTGAACAATGATATGGAACGGTACAATCACTTGACCATCATCTTGAATTTGACACATCCCGTTTGAAACCATTTGACTCCAAGTAAGGTTTCTTGCAGAAGGTAGCGATGATTCAGAAAACGGACAGTTTAGTAGATATGTAACAGGCGTGTTTGTAAAACAAGTCGGCAGTAGCTTCAAAATATCAGCGAGTGGCAATTGATGATGCTGCAAATTCGAAAGCGCAGCTACTCTTGCTTTCCGAAAATTGGATTCGTTTAGATCATTCGGCTTCATGGATACGACTTGTTTTGCAAACTCAGTCAGTAGTCTTGTCACGAATGCATTGGGTGATTGAGTAAACAGTACTGGTTGATTGATGCGGTGATCTTGCCATGTTTTCAGCAATCATGAGTTTGGTCCAGTCACCACTGCAGAGACTGCAAACACTGAACAGGATCTGGTTGAGCACCGTGATTGGGTCTTATTTTTGACTGTATAATGTGTGAATGTGCTGATAATATTAATGATTGTCGATCAATGTCAAACACAAATATACCAACTAAAGCAGTGCAATGATCAACATTCGTCCATGAAAATCAAATTTTATTGTAAGCTAAAGCATACATGCAGTTGTAGAATGACAATTGAATCGGTCGAGACCAGTCCAGATTAGCATTCAAATCAGTCGGATTAGTTGTCATGCATGATTTGACCCCAAAGGAATTGAGCCCCACCGCTAACTCTGGAAACAACATTACTCCCAATAGTGGAAAGTGTTTGTCCCATGGAACTAGATTCAGGTGATGCTTCAGGTGATGCTTCAGGTGATGATGTTTCTGGTGATGCTTCAGGTGATGGTTGTGGAGCTTGACTTTCTTGTTGATCACTAGGAGCTTGAGCAGAACTCTTTTTGCATCCTGATGATTGTTCTCCATCACATGTTTCCAAATAAGCATCAACGGTAGAATGTGCGAGGATTTCCCAAAATTGTTCATCAAGCAATTTAGCATTGTAAGGCACTCCGAAAACGAGCTTCACGAGGTCTACTTTGAGGAAATTCAGCTCATTCTCAAGTATTATAATATCGAGATCGCAATCTTGCTTTTCTCTTTCAATCTTCGAGTATTTGGAGTATAGGTTTTCAAGATCAGCCTTGAATCCTTCCATTTTACCATTACGACCACGTCTTAGATCGCCGTCACCACTTTGAAGTACAGTTCTCAATTTTCCAACCTCTTTTTCCAGAAGCTTTACCAATCCCTGATGCTCGGTAAATTGAGATTCTATTGATTTGCATAATTCTAATTGTATAGAATATCTGCCTCGCTTTTTTGAGTATTTTTCGAGCAGGCTCTCGACTTCAGCTGGAAGTGAATCAAGACCTTGTAAGCCTATACCGTTTCCATTAGGAGCTGGCAAAGAGCTAGATTCAGTACTTGTAGTCGCACTGGGAAGAATTGGATTGGCTGTAGTAACCGAGCAAGCGACCAAAAGTGATGTCAATACAGCGACTGTGAGTTTCATTTTACTGGTTTGATTAAGCAAGTTGTATATGATTATCGTCCAACAGGTCAATTATTGGGTCGTATTTATATTCGTATTGAGTGGATAATATCAAGCATAATTTTTGGATGACCGTCCTA